GACAAGGCAGGGGCTGGTTGCTGACTCTGCCAAGGTCAGAGACGAATGCGGGCCAAATCTCAGTGGGCATCACTACCAAACTAATGCCAAACGCGTTACGGAGTACTCAGAATAGAGACAAGGTCTCGTCATAGCCGTCCCCCCGCTGCTGGTTACATCGTGCTGACTGATTCGAAGAAAGAAAAGAAAAAAAGAAAGAAAAGAAAAAAAGAAGAAAGAAAAAAGAAGAAAAAAACTCTGGTAGTCCTTGGCGACATTTCAACATTACAGGATCACAGATGGTGGATTGCCATTCTGCAGCTTCAAATTACCTGTGGAGATGCTTGGGCTCCGGAGGATCGATCGCCCCGAGTGTGTGTTTGGAGTACACAGACAGGGGAGAGACGTGACGCGTTGGGCGATCAATTGCAAGGGTCGGTAAAGTACAGTACATACTCCGTACATCCATACATACATACACCGGCATGATCGGGTAGTTGAACTGTGGCGTTCTGCTGCTAATGTGAGAGTTTTTGTGACTCGTATAAGTAAATGAAGGACATGTTAGAGTTCAAATATGAGATACAAAAATATTGTGGCATCATTCGGACGAGGGGGAGAAGACGAAAGGCAAAAGACAATCTTTGAATGTCTGAGGTAACCTTGGGCATTGATTGACTGCACTCTTCCTGAACAGCAAATAAGAAGAGGTGGATGGTGAGACGAGATGAAGGAAAAAAAGCAACACCTTGTGCATTAGGTACGAAAGGGCCACGAGGAAGTGCTGCAAGTATCCGTATCAATCCATATTAGACATTTGTGAGACAGTGAATTGATGAGTGCTCTACATGTGTAACTAGTCACAGTTATAATAAGAAGTCATTAAACTCTAACAGAAACAAACACCGAACTAATCCATACCATTGAGTTCTCGCCGGTGAAATCATCTGATTGAGTTTTTCAATTTTCATCTGAATTGAATTGAATACCGTTGAATTTAGTTTAACATATGCAGGGGTGAGTAGATAGTGACGTGGATTCAGCTGCAGTGAACCTGAATTCCCCGCCCAAGAGTGACTGGAGATCAAATCTACTGGTTGTTTCAGCTGCCATGGTCTCCGTCCCCAGGTCCCCTGCTTCCGGACGCTATGCACCAGAACTCCACGAGCCACATGCAGCAATGGGTTCCCCGAGAGGTTGAGTTGGGTTGAGCCTTGGGTGGCCAGAGACTGACTGCATAAGCCACACCAAGCCTCCCTCCGCCCATCCCGAGGCATGAGCCAAGTACTGTACATTGTGAGATTGCCCATGCAGTTCTGCTTGCTTTGCATGATGCTAACGCTCAAGTCCAAGCAAGTCCCAGCGGCTTGGTCAAGAGATTGCCCCGGTTGAAGACGGCGTTGGTGTGTTTTCGATGAAACCCTAGACAAGCTGTAGACTAAAGGTAGAGGGTCCAAGGAAAAGATGCTCATAAGCAGGGCAGGACGTACGTGAACCAAGAACCAGAAGGATCGACTCGAGGCCTCCTTGTTTTTCCTTTCTCCCACGATCTGATCTTGTTTCCTTACACTATTGATTTTTCTTCTTTTTCTGAATCTGTTTGGATGATTTTCTTCATCCATCATCTTCATCCACTTTGTTCCATCCATCCACGCATTGACTGCACTTGTGTGCCTACTCTCGTTCACAGCTCGTCCCACTTGATTCAATATCGACCTCAAGATCCATTCTTTGCCGGTTTCACTCGTTGTCGTTGACTTGTCTCTTCTGTCTCCCTTCCCCCCACTTGAATCGGTTTGAATCTACCTGTAAGCTCCCTCGAGGGGCGGCTTCCCCGTGATCCCCTTCCATATTATCAAAAGGATTCCAGGGCCCGGCATTTCATACGTTTTACCAGCCTTTGCATTGCATTGCTGTGTTGTCACGTCCCTGGTTTCACCTGTTTTATCTTGCCTCAAGTTAAACGGCATCCCCCTTGCTCTTGCTCCTGCTCCTAGCCTGTCGTCCAAGGTTGACACGACTGCTTCAGTTTCGTCATGGCTACCATGTTGAATTCAAATTCTCTGCAACCGCCTAAAACTGGCTCATCTCGCTGGTCGAAAGCCCTTCCCGATGTCCCAGGTCCTGACGATCCAAGTTTTTATGACGATTATTATGAGGAACCTTCCCCTCGTCTACCTCCCGCCAAAGAGCTTCCACCACCTCCGCCGCGCTCGACTAGTATAGCCAACGCGAAGTCGTTGCCTCTATCACTGCCGCCGTTACATCTGCTTGCGGTTGATTCCCCTCCATCTGGTCCGCCCAAAATGGCTATTCCACGCCGGCCCATCGGGAAGCTGCCTGCAAACCCACCACCACTACCTCAGAAAGAGCCGCAGCAGCCAAACTCATCACAGATTCCCCCATCACCTTCGGAATCACTATCGAGTATTCTGTCGGCATATTCACGCTCGTCCGGCGAATCCCTTGTCAGGTCGCCCTACGAAGCCGACGACAGTGTCCGTCAGAGTGAGGCAATCTCATCGCTGGGCCACCAAGCTCCACCCACCAACACCAACACTGGCACATTTATCAGTCCCTCCGCCCAGCAACAACAGCATCATCATCAACAGCAACAACCGCAACAGTATGTTGCCAAGAAGCTGCTCGCCAACAACACTCGGCCACCCCCATTACCCTCTAAGGACACCAAATATCATCTTCCAGCCACGCCTGCTCCTGTTCGAAAACCAGTCCCGGAGAACAAGCTGCCTGAACTGAACTCAGCGTCGTCGCCTTCTTCCCAGCAGCAGCCTGAACCTCAGCTTTGGCGTCGTCGGTCGTCAAAGGCCGAGCGGAGCCTTGAGCTTCCCGACCTAAAGCTTGTTGCTAGCCACGGGTCGACCGCTGCAACGAAGCCAGTTGTCGCACAACCACATGTTCAACAGCAGCCTTCTTCAAGCGGACCTAAAGTCTCCTCAATACCAAACTGGCAGCCTGGGAGCACCAACCCCATAGTGCCTGCTGGTCAGGACTTCGAAACGTCGCCAGCCGCTGAGCAGGTGCCCGACACCCCGACCATGGGGATTAATAGTTCCAAACTGAACCGTCTCAAAGGGAAACTTCATCTTCATCGAAGGGGGAAATCATCGGGTGACACAAGCAAGTCTTCCTCAACGCCACGACCTGGGGCAAATCGCCCCCCCACGCCTGAATATCAAAAGGAAGACATCAAGACTCCCGTTGTTGATTCCTTTATTTCGCCTTTGTCGCCCGCTTCATCACCAGAGCCCGCTGCGCAGGTTTCTCCAGAAATTCCAACTGACGTCACAAGTATATTTCCTCACGCACAAACCCAAGAACACCTAAGAAGTACTGGTAGCATCACACGTAAGGCTGTGCAGGTCCCTAGGCTACCGAGCCCTTCGGAGGACAAGCCGGTCTCTGCATCGCCAGAGGCGGCATCGTTACCACCTTCAGTCACTGATTCAAGGGGAAGTCGTGAATCCTCTGGCAGTGACACTGTTGTTCACCAAGTCCAGCCTCCTACGGAAGTTTCAAATCGGTTCCCACCACGACATTCATCCGTAAAGTCGAATGCCCCTCCACGACACTTGGCAGTTGAACACGACCCGAGACTGGTGCCGTCCGAGTCTCAGGGACCCCTTTACAGAGGTAGAGATGGTACCCTGTATCCTGAGATGAAGGTACTGCAGGAACCCGACCCACGCGCGGCCTACTTCCCCAAACAGTCCGAGTCACCTATACCAGAAGGTACTATCTTCAAGGCGCCGGCGCTGAAAAAGTCCCATTTCAATTGCTACCATGGCCATAAGACGATGAACCGCCGGACTAACAAATATTATCCGTTGACTTGCCAAACGTGCGATAAGTCGGATGTTGAAGATAGATGGACTTGCAGTTTTTGTCATCTACGAATATGCGAGCACTGCGTCAAGAAGCTTAACAACAATGGCAATGACCTGCGCCGACTGGTCAGCCACCCACAACTCACATCATAATCGAACCCCCACGAGCGTTGCCACGAAATTGTCTCTTAATGTTCTTTAATCATTGACCATTTTATCTCATCGCCACATGAACCGCACTTATTCACGCCCTTTTCTTTGTTGCGTATAGATTCTCCTCGCAGGTTTGATCCGAGTCACGCATTGCATGTATTATATATAAAAAGGCCATGTGAGGGCAGACCAGGAGGAAAACATAGACAGTATGGGATGATGTCGTTCATCACGACCTGAACAATACCGCATTTGCTAGCAGCAGCATGTTTACGAGCTCGGGGAATAGGGGGAAGATGAGGACATCTTGTCCATTTTTTGTTGGTATGATCTGGTGATATCGAAAAGGAAAATGAACTCATGTTTGCTGCTTCGCTGAGGCACTCTGATACTACGAAATGTTAATGTGCTGACCTAGAAGGGGCAGCTCGATTAGATTCTCATCAATGATAAAAAGATACCTTGATACAAGAATTTAATTGCCGAAGATACAGGGGCGGACTCAATCAGACGAGTACTAAGACTGATATGAATGTGTAATGTTGATGATGACATGGAAGAGGTTGTCAAAGCAGGACTCGTGTGCACGGATTCTACCATGTGGACTGCCTTTTTAGCACTCAGGTCTTTGATAGTCTAAAACTCGACTAACACAAGCTCTTATGCAAGAGCAGCATTCCTTGATATCAATGCCAAAGGTAGGTTCGTATTTAGATGGGTTTTTGTCTGATAATTCCAAGCGTCCGTTCAAGTTAACCTCCACTGTTAGGTACTTTAACTAGAGGCTCTCCTCACCGAGTATGCTAGCCTCCACCGGGTCCTTGGCTCAGTGTTGCCGTCCACTCACCGTGTTCCGGCTAACGGAGGCTTCCTCAGGGCAGGTCCACTTTCTTACCGTACCGGTAGCCCAAGCGACCCTGGATTTCCCCAAGCTTCATCACAATAAACATTCACTTAATAGCTTCTATCAATCCCGAACCCGTTTAATCCATCGTGCGACGGACTGTGACGGATATCACTATGTCCACGCTACAACGCTCACGATCACTTCGAAAACCTCCTTCTTCCACCACAACCACTGCGACTGCTAATGCTAATGCGAACCCCCCAGACGGTTCACCGAGTCGCCTTCCTGTAAAGCCCTTGACTAGAAGTGCGACGACGTCTAGCAATGCGAGAACATTGAGAAATGGAACAACCACAGGACTCTCCAGGGCAACGTCTGTTAGACAGCCTGCTAAACCAGTAACATCTGAGCCTGCGAAGAGGGAAACTCGATATCCCCCCTCAACCACGACTACAAGACCTCGACCAGCGGTGAGACCGACCTCGGCAGATGGCCCGACTCAAATAACTAGAAAGGCACCTGCTCCTACGCATACGCGCGCAAAGAGCACTGCCACTGGCTTGAGAAATGCGCCAGTCTTGAGACCTCCTTCTTCTGGTTCGTCAGCTAGCAGCACCACTACCACAACAACGACCACTCGTCCTACTCGGTCGTCGACTACTTCCACCAACGAGAAGCTCTCGGGCGCCGCACCACGCCTTCGTCCGGCCTTCTCAACTCTCCAGCAACACTACTCACCAGCCAAGTCCTCTGCGCCCAAACCACTGACGTCAACATTCCTCGCTCCGCCATCACCGTCTAAGCTTCCGGCCAATGTCGCTGCATCCGCCGAGACAAGTCGGTTACAAACCGAGCTTCTGCAACTTCATCTTTTGCATCGAGATGCACCGACTGTCGATGCTACCTGGAGGGCTAGTGCCCAGCGCAAACTTGGGGAGCGATTTTCAGAGCTTGCTAGCGCCAGCAAACAGATTGATGACCAGGAGAAGGCAGAGGTTGAGAGGGAGAACATCCTGGCACTCCGTAAGTGGGCTGTTGGCGGTGGTCTGGAAGAGCGCATACAAATCCTAGATGCAGCCATAGCTGGTCTATGGGCGCTGGAGGAACCCGGTGGTCGTTATGCTAGGGTCGTCAGGCGATTTGAACGATGGGTTGATCGCATGTGCGAAATCGAAGAAGCGAGACGTGCAGGCGGAGCTCTCATCCAGGAGAACGACGTGCTGTTTATTGGCGAACTTGATTCTGCATGGAAGGACGAATGCGCTGGCTTGGTACGACGATTGGATACCATAAAGCGACAGCTCGATCAATTGGGGGATTTTGCCGGTGATGACCAAGAGGGAGAACCCAAAGATCAATCAAGTCTGCATCGCATGGTAGAAGGGTCGAGGGAGCTTGTGCAGGGCATGCTGACTGAACTGGCTGTCATGGACGATATTGAGCGGGATGCGATTGCGCGTGAAGATGAGTGGATTGAGAGAATGAACCGAGACGATGAATTGGAAGATACCCCAAGAGCCGGAGCAGTTTGGAGAGCTGTGTAAGGCATTGTTCAAGTTTATAATGTTCCGTGCGCGGGTTTTGGACATCAGATGAACAACATATCACCTAGATCAGCGACATCACAGCAGATGATGCACTTTCATGTTACATATAGACTCATTTTTTTAATCATATTTGGGCCTGAGCTGCTCTAGCTATGCTATGCCAGTTGGCCTCGAAACGAGAACATAACCAGCAGAAGGGGCTCTCTATCTCTTCCTTGTGCGTATTGGCATATATCGACCGGATATCAAGTTAAAACGGAAATTGGTAAATCAACCACAATTCTTTCAAACCCCATCTTCTCTAACTCGAAACCATGGTATTGAAATTTGTTGGGATTTTTATAATTTCTTTTTTTCTTCTTTTTTTCTCTTTTGGATGTGATTTTCGTTGTCATAAAATCTGGGAAATTCCGTATCTCGAAACAAACGCCTCTAAATGATGCCCACGCAAAAACGAAGTATCATCATCGGGATATAGCAGTCATAAATGGTACTTGGGGGTTTATCGATCAGGGCCGGGTGCGATATAGCATTGCCGTTTATATCCTTGCCGATTCGGAGATTTGACGCGTCTTATAGTGTTTTAGGTCCTCTAAGATCGTGAGGGACGTTGAAAGGAGTGATGAATTGGAAGCTGAACATCCAGCTCTCCTGCGAATTTCGCAAGATGCCAGGCTCCATCTGGTGCGACAGCACGTTGATGTGGTTTGCATGTCATGGTGAGTCAGGCTAAAGCTCAAATACTGGGTAGAGGTGCTTGTTATTAAAGCTAGCTTGGGTGATGGTATCATAGGAAAGCCCTTCGCGGAAAGCTGACGCCCTCGACAGCAGGCTCGTCGACGAACCAACTGCAGCGTTCACCAGTACCCTCATTGACAAGAGTGCAAGGCAGACCACCGTCGGTATCGAAGATCTGCTTCATGATCTCCTTCTTGCCGCCGCCAGTAGCGACGAACGCGACACGAACGGAGTGGTTGACGACTGGAAGAGTGAGGGTAATGCGCTTGGGGGGAGGCTTGGGGGAGTCTTCAATGGGAGCAACCCAGGCGTCGACTTCACGGAGCAGTTCATGGCCAGGGAAAAGAGAGCAGGTATGTCCGTCGGGTCCGCAGCCGAGGAGGAGGAGGTCAAAGATAGGCAGACGGACCGAGTCGCGGCTGGCGAAGCTGGCAACCAGTGTCTTCTCGTACTGGTCGGCAAGTTCTTGCAGGTCGTTCAAGTGTTCTGTGTCGATGGGATGCACGGTGGGTTTCTGGTCCTCGGGGATCTTGTCTAGAAGTTCCTTCTTGAGAAGGGCATAGTTGGAGTCTTCGTGGTCGAGGGGCACAGCGCGCTCATCCGCAAAGAAAATTTCCCAGCGCTTGAAATCGACGACGTCGTTGGGGCCTGAAGAGGGGGCCAGGAGGGCTTGGGCGAGCGTCTTGGGGAGCGAACCACCAGATACACCCACTTTGAAAGCGCCGTGCCGGGCGATGCCGGCAGCTTGGCTCTGGATAACATACGAACGTAGCGCCGGGGCGAGGGCGTCAACGTTGCGAAATGCGAAAAGGTTTGGTTGTGTTTTACCCATGGTGACGTTTGTGGTGCGGGTTTTGAAGCTTGCGGTGAGTCGTGACGATATGAGAGAGGTAGGTAGATGAAAAATGACGGAACAAGGAGAGAGACGAAGAAAGATCGAGGTGCGTGGTTTTACTGCAGCTCTGATTGATCCTTGACACGGGTGAGAGAGGATGTAAGTGTGTCAAAGGTACAAGGTAAGGTTGGTAGGTAGGCGAGGCAATCGACTCAAATAATTTATCAGGAGGTTGTTTGAACGTTGTGGGATTATTTGATAATGCTGTAGGTATCGTCTTAGGCAGTCTAGAGGCTACAACCTTAGGTAGGTAAGAGGCGGGGGTTCCATGGAAGTCACAGTGGGCATTTTTTTCTAGTTTCTGGTAGGTAGGTACGGTAGTATTGGGTACCTACTTCGTCATCGCATCCCGTCGCATGGAGTGGAGTGGATCAAACTCCCGTCGGTAAATGTCGACCCAGACATGGAGTAAGAGCATTCAAGACGGGGAAGGACCATTCTACGAGCAGGTAGAGAGGCAACTTACTTGACTTGCTCCCTACCGTGGGTGGGCGGACGGATGGGAGAGCCAGGCTTGGGAGGAGAGCGAAAACGGTCTCAGAATAGCTTCCTTGGACAGCACCTCGAAAGCTTCGATCTCAGTGGGAGCTCACAGTTAAGATCAGGTTCCGGTACAGAAGACGATATGATGAGCGCAGTGGCGTGCTAGACATCTGCACAGTACTGCACAGCAAGGTAGGTACCTACTGTGTTGTAGTCAGTTACCTACATAAGTAGGCTTTTCCCTTTCTGACACTGACATATCTGAATCGTGTATGGCTGGGTTCTGTTTCGAGATAATGCATGTCAACCATGGGGCACTTTAGCCGCGTGGTGTCCCGTTGAAACATGGAAGCTTATCGGATTGCCGTTTGTTCCCGGGTAACTAGACTTGGCATGGGGATGAGCGAGGAAGGCTAATCCTCCTTATGTGATGATTGGACTTAAGCTTGGTGGTAGGTCTCGTCTAGGAATATTATCAATGATCAAGGCTGATGAGAAATCATCATCTAAGGTGCTTGGGAATCTCAGAGGGATCTTTAAGCATGTTAGATCTGACTTACAGCAGCTTGACATGTAGTCGTAGTTGCTGACGTGCTTTTGAGCCCTACCTAACTAACCTCCTAACCCTTGTCAAAGCAATCGAAGCCAAAGGAACCCCCATATGTACTGTAAGTGGGAACCAAACTAACCAAGGTAGCATCATCATTACCGGGTGGTAGCACAGCACAGAGCCAATAGGCAACTGGACAGCTCCTTGACAGCTCCGAATTTTGGCGTCCGTCTCGATCGTGTTTGATATGTGCATGGCTAGATATGTGTTGAAGGATCGATTAATTAAGTAGACACGGGCCAATTGAGGTGGGCAAGACGTCTGGATTCATGCAAGGGACGGCGGTATAAACGGCCAGATCTGACGTCTTCTCCTTTCATCCTCTGATAAGGATACCCAGGTGCAGGGAGCTTTCCTGTGGCTTTTGAGGTAGGGTAGGGTCCTGTAGATAGGGTCAACAGTGCGTTGACAAGCATGTGCTTGTCCGGTTCTGCGGAGCTTTTTTATTATTGACGGACAGGTGATTTCATGACGTATCTAAGCGTTAGGTTAGGTTAGCTGGTTTCTCGGCGGGTTTAGGCGCACCGCTAGCCGTTCCGTTTCAAAGCATCGTGGACGGCGGTGGTAAGCTCTTTATTGGCGCTTGTCTCATGAGGAGGGAGAGAGGGAAGTTGTCAACTTATACCGACTTCACTGATCACCTTGGAGCAGAGAATTCATGGTTGGAAAGAGTGTCTTGTATCCAGTATATGCCCTGTCGTATAATTGTCTCCCTACGGTACCTTCTGTTCAGTGTGCATCTCTGTGGGTGTAGGTATGTATGTGTGTACTGCAAGTCGCTACCTATGAGCTCCATGGCTGGCCAGCAGCCCTGGCAGAGTTTTCCAGGGCAGATGCCGGCTGGCTGAGCCCTTGTCTATCTGGTCCCTGGTCTGCCCCTCCAATGGACCCCTCCAAGATTCTGACCCCTCTAGCCCCTCTATTTATGCAATTCTCAGGTGAATAGGTAACTTAAGGTATCCATGTGGGAAATGGACGTCTCTAGAAGCCTCCAGCAGCTTCATTCTCCGTAATCCCTCAGGTCATTCGTGAATACCAGAGTCTCATCGAGGAGCATCCGCTCAAATGATATGTTCCAAGTCGCCTGATTTTGTACTCGAGCCATAGCCCGTGCTGTCGAAGAAACATTTCAAGACCTCGTCAACTGAGGGGCAACAAGTCTCTCAGGATCGTGTAAGAGACGGTGAGTGCATGTGCTTGTCCCTACTACACTCTCATGCATGCAGGGCATTAGGTAGTTGGCAGGCCCGCTGGCACTCGAATCGACGTCGAATCAAGACATGGGGCTCGTCAAGTCGGCATCCGAGAATGATGGCTTTGAGAATCCGATGTGAAGCTGCACTGCTGCATAGGTATTCTTGATTATTTCAGACTTGACTGGGAAGCGGTTTTGGGAAACGGGCAAGCCACTTGGCCTCCTGCATGCCTACCTATGCAGCACAATCAATACAAGAATATTGTTTCTGCGATCGATCTGAAATTTGTCATTAGAGGTGCGACTGGTTGCTGTCCTTGGCCATCGGACAACCGAAGAGACCGGTCCGGCGAAGGTGGCTGATGGAAGAAAGGAGCAAGCTTGATGAAGGAATAGGAAGAAGGGAAAACGACATCACTTCGGTTAGTCAATCCGAGAATCAGGTTCCCTTAGACTACTACCTGCGTAATGATCACACCAGTTTGGATCTGGAAGACCCTGATATTATGGCTCCCTTGGCAATATCCGAAGCTCAAGCCTTTTCGTATTTGACAGCTGCGAGCCCAGTCGAGCAAACGTGGGAGGGGTGTCAGGGTGCGGAGGGGCACTTTTTGGCCCACCCGTGGGACGTTCTGGGTTTTCCTCCCCCCTCCCCCTACTCAGTTTGCGGGTTTGTTACTGTAAAAATTACATTGGAGGCTTGAAACGGGGTGGATGGACCCTGGCGATCAAATCATCACTCGCGCACTTCCATTGTCAGTTGCGCTTTGTTCTCGTGTGACCCGGAACCTTCGCTCCGACATCCATCTAACACCAACCAACATCAGCAGCCAACCTTTTGGTCTGGCAGCTGGAAATTGCCAAGCCTGTTTTCTTTGTTTTGGCCATCTAAAGGGCCTTGCCTTGACTTTGCGACTAACCCAGGTACCTCCTAATGGGGAAAATAAAAAAAATTTACCCTGTTTTGTCTTTGGCGAAAATATCAAGATTCAGGGTCCTGACGGGAAATCAGAATCATCCTGGACTGCCCTACCAAAAAGCCTCCCGTTCCAGAAGACGACTAATATAAACGAATA